TCTTACCTTTGCTGTTTTGTCTGTTTTCCAAGTTGTTGTTATATAATCTATAGAGAAATAACATTTTACTTGTTTGTAACTTATATGGCCACTCAGACCACTGACTCGTGAGATAATACGCTCAATATAGCACTGGATGGTTTCTATTCTCCATCTCCGACATCCCTTTTTATATAGTTTTTGGACTCCGGTACATATGAGCGTATTATCTAATTTTACTCAGTTATTTCCCTCGAATCCCCACATGATAAATTACTTAAAAATTACAACATTTATGTCCAGATGCACATTTTTTTCAAGAATACATTAAACAATTCTAACTGAGTCCGGTTGAAGAATATTAAACTCAACACAACAACGTAATCTGATACAATAGGAATAAAGTCATGAATATGTATTTCCCAGGGCGCATAATACAACGTACATTTACGCCATCATGTTATTAATGCAAAGGAGAGCAAGTAGAAAATACAATATTACTTTAATAATAAGATAAATGTTCTAAAATCTTAAAATATCTAAAACAACCTGTAAATCTGACCTCACGTCATTAAAAATCGTTTATTTTAAGTGGGTGCCCTGCAGCACGATTGATTCCTCAAATCATCTTTGAAGGAAGATATTTATAAAAACAAGTGCAGCAGTGATCTGAATGCCTGAGTTTGTTCAGAGGAGGTTCACGTTCAGGGTCCACCAGAGCCGCAAACCACCGTCAAACACCAAAAAATATTTAACTCTCACTACAGAGTAAATGCATGGTAAGAATGCAGTGAATCAGATTTACAAGCACACATCTGGATCAGAGTCAGTGCAGAAGCACTTCATGTTCAATCATACAACAATATGAAGAGGCAGAATAACAGAAAGCTGTGCGTTAGAGGAGAAAAAGACAGACGGTTCTGACCGTGCTGAATGTCCTTCATGTCGAGATGTAAACTGGACATCAGGATCCCCACGGCCTGAGAACGCTTGGTGTTCAGCAGCTTCACCACCTACAACACACACACACACACACACACACACACACACAGACACACAGACACACAGACACACACAGAGAGAGAGACACACACACACACAAACATTAAATCCCATCGAATGTGAGAGTTAATAAACCACTTGAGGTGCTCTATTATCAAGTCACGTATTAAAGATGCTGTCAGACACAAAGATTGAGATTTAGATGAATTGCTTCCAAATAATGTGAAGCTGTGATCCTCACATTTATTCATGTATGTGACCCTGGAGCACAAAACCAGTCATAAAGGTCAACTTTTTTTTAAATGCATCATCTGAATGCTGAATAAATAAGCTTTCCATTGATGTATGGTTTGTTAGGATCGGACAATATTTGGCTGAGATACAACTATTTGAAAATCTGGAATCTGAGGGTGCAAAAAAATCTAAATATTGAGAAAATCATCTTTAAAGTTGTTACTAATGTTTAAAGTTTGATTACTAATCAAAAATTAAGTTTTGATATATCTACGGTAGGAAATTTACAAAATATCTTCATGGAACATGATCTTTACTTAATATCCTAATGATTTTTGGCATAAAAAAAAGAATCAGTAATTGTGACCCATACAATGTATTGTTGGCTATTGCTACAAATATACCCCAGCGACTTAACACTGCTTTTGTGCTGCAGGGACACATATAACATGACTTAATGTCAGATGAGTGCGAGTCAATCCTCAGATCATTAGAGCGTCGGTGTGTGTAATTGCTCATTACGTCTTGATTTGACAGGGAAAATCAAAGGGAAAAGCACTCTTTTATTGCATGAACCCTGAATAGGTCACATTACAGCGCAAAACGCAACAATTACCAACTGCAGGCAATTAGACCAAACAAAACAAGTTACTCTATCAAAGAAGAATGTTGCTGGGTAACTCCTGACAGATATGGAAACGAGTCGCCAATTATTTCACTCATTAATCCGTCATGTTTAAAGCATGAGCCAAACATAGCTGCTTTTAGCCAGCTCAAAATCTGTAGACTATTTCTGCTTTCTGAGTCCGGCTGGAACTGAAGAATCATTAGTTTATAAAACAGTCATAACTTTTCAGCCAAAATCATATTTGTATCTGATCAGTGACTTCTCATTAACGAGTGAACATCAAAAACTGTAGAAGTTTTAAATGCGGCAATGTTATTACTTACCTCTTTTATAGAAATGAAAAAAAAGAGAGAAATTATTTGAAATTATTAATTACTCATTAACCACACACGCAAAAACTGGACATTATGATGCAAAAATTATTTTTTTTTCAATATTGATGAGAAAGCTCATTTGAATATATCTATATTTTATGAAAATTATAAGAACCTATAATCTGAGAATTATCTGTATTAACCCCATTGGAATTAATGAATGGAATTTAATTGCTCAAAAACAGTCCGAGGTTACGAAACCTACATACTTATTTCTAACAAAACATGAAAACAACAAATATAACTCTGAAAAGTTTTTAAACAATTTTACAAAAAGTATTTTTGGCACCTAATGGTGCTCCATACAAACCCGGGTCAAAATGACCCGAACTCAAAAATAGTTAAATCTTTTAAAACATAATTTTAACTCTTTCCCCGCCAGCGTTTTTGAAAAAGTTGCCAGCCACCGCCAGCATTTTTGATGATTTTACTAAAATTTCATGACCCCACAATACTTTAACATTTGAACATGCAATACATTTAAACAAAAAAATCTGTTTTATTCTAGCTTCAAGCATTCTTTTATATCATCACTTGAATGTAGGTAAGTTTTATAAAAAAAAGCAACATTTTGAGCAAAAAGCAGAGAAAATCAAGTATTTTTATCAAATACTACATCTGGATCATATTCAGTAGGATGATCCATCAACACCCTCAAAGCTTCACAGTCCTGAACCACTTCCTGGATCGACATTTCACACGCATATTTTTCATATGCATATATACAAGATTGCTCGTTTCTGCGTCTTCCTCGCATGTGTTTTTGATCAGACTCATTCAGGAGATGTGTATAGCGCCCCCAAGCCAATAACAGCGAGAACGCGGAAACCCGGAAAATTAAGTGTTTGGCGGGGAAA